ACAGACGGAGGTCACGGAGGACACCGACGGGCTTGGCGCAGCTGGTACGCTGGGAAATTCGAAGGAAGACAGTCCCCAAAAAAAAAAAAAAAAAAAAAACCGAGGAGGACTATTACGAAATGCATGTCCCAAAAAAATAAAATAAAAAAAATTACGAAATGCATGTGCCACGTCAGCAGAGACCTGCAGAGAGGCTGTCGTCACAGTTACCAGGGAAGTGGTGGCACTAAGAAGGAGCCTAGCTCTGTCGCTACACCAATGAACTGTGTTGAAATGCAGCAGACCCAAGTTGGAATCAAAATGATGCCATGATGGAACCACGCGTCAGCGAACTGTAACTGTTGTCCTCCGCTTGCATGCATAATGTGTGTGCTTTGGCCCTTGGGTGAACATCAATTTGTGCCAGTTTTCATGGCCTGGAAGAAGCAGGAGCAGGTACTAACCGCTTTACAGTGGAAGTTCGGGTCCGGAGTTGCTACCCAAGGTTACCTGAATGAGGCTGCCTCTGAAACGCACAGGCAAGTGGGGGGAGCAAGAGCAGCTAACAGCTTTGCAGCGGCAGTAACCGTTCGAGGAATTGAGAGTCGTTGCCCCCCAACAGCGCCCCAAGTAACCCGACTGTGAGACGTACTGACCATGGTAAAACCAAGTGGGAGCAAGAGCAGCTATTAACCGCTTTAAAGCGGCAGTTTGAGAGTTGTTACCGTTCAAGTAACCTAAGAGGTGTGAGAGTTGTTACCGCCCAAGTAACCTAAGAGGTGTGAGAGTCGTTACCGCCCAAGTAACCTGAGTTAGTGTGAGACGTACTGACCATGGTAAATCCAAGTGGGAGCAAGAGCAGCCAAGTTGAGCTAACCGCTTTACAGCGGCAGTTTGAGAGTTGTTACCGCCCAAGTAACCTGAGTCAGTGAGTTAGTGTGAGACTTACTGGCCATGGTAAATCCAAGTGGGGGAGCAAGAGCAGCTAGTAACCCCTTCACAGCGGCAGTTTGAGAGTTGTTACCGCCCAAGTAACCTGACTCTGAAACGTACTGACCATGGTAAAGGCAAGCAGGAGCAGGTAACCGCACTTTACAGCGGAAGTTTGTAAATCGTTACCCATCGTTACCCATTGGGCCATTGGCAAGTAACCGTACTGACCATGGTAAAGGCAAGCGGGCGCAGGAGCAGGTAACCGCGCTTGGCTTTACCGCGGAAGTTTGAGAGTCGTTGCCCATTGGCAATTTACCGGACTGTGAAACTAACTGACCATGGTAAAGGCAAGTTGGAGTCTTTGGGGTAACGCGGGTAAGAGATCCGTTTGTCAAAAAGTATGTCAGACTCCTTCTCATGACTAGTTGATTGCATTCGTAATTTCAGATGTCTAAGAATGGGAAGGGGATTTGGACTGACCGGAGATTGGGTATTCAGAACGATGTGCAGTGTGCAGTGTGCACCAGCCACATTTCCTTGCTGGTCTCTCGACTTGTGAAGCAGCCTGCGATCTCTTACCTCGGGGCCCCATAAAAAAAGGAAAACAAAAATTTAATAAAACAGAACATGGAAAATGGTAAACGACTGGTTACTCTGCGTGGCCAGCTCAATAATAGGCCTCAATTGCCGTACTCAGGCTATTCTTTCACCTTTTCCTAAAGGAAAACCGTGGGCTGAGCACACGTAAGTAGTAGCTTGCGTGAATTTTTCGCAGCATTCACTTCGTAAGTAGTAGCCTACCATACCATAAAAATGAATGCTTCGAAACGAGTTGCGGTTGCGAAATAAGTTAATAACCCGGAGTTCGACTGACCAACATCACACCATCACACCATCACACCATTGCATGACTTGAAGACATAGTATTAGGGAGAAGGGGGAAGAAATTCAATACAGAACACATATTATGACACATAGGCTCAGCACCGAAGTAGCTATCAATAGCCAAGGTTTCATTTAATTTAAAGAATAGCGAGAAGCACAACAAAGACGTTCTTCTTGCCAACAAATACTAGTACGTGAAAGCAGAACAAATCACTAAAGACTCGCCCGAAAACGCCCGGCGGCCCTTTCTGGCGCCTAAACACTAAAGACTCGCCCACGACGGCGCCGACATAATCAAGATCATCTTCAGCTGAGGGGAAAAATGAGTGGTTATATCAGATTTGCTTATATGGAGGCAACACAGAGCCTTGGCAAGACAGATTTCAAGATGCAGGCTACCTTGTTCCCCCCTGAATACAATGAATTGGAAGGTAATTATAGCTGTATTTGGGGTATCTTTCAGTCTAAATACAGTTATATTGCCCGTACGTTGAACTGGGGGGAAGAAGCTTAGTCATTTCCAATGATGCAAGGAATTATCGAGTGTGCCCAGGTCCCAGACCTCTGTTGCAGGGCGCTTAGGGCCGCCACCTTCAAGACGGGCAGCCATTGGACTGCACATGTCCTGACGTGCATTAGCTCCCAACGGCGTTCTGTAAGTTTGCCCTCTCTTTGTTTTTCGTGTCTGTTTTTCTTTTCTTTT